AGGATGAACTAGTAATTCGAGCTGATATTCTCAGAGGCATCCATGAATTTAAGGGAAAGGGGCAGATGAGGACAGAGTATCCCTGCTCCTGTGTGTGGATAAAGGCATACTGGGAGAACCACAGGAAGATTCTGCTACTGCAGTCTAGAGTGAGCAATGACAGCTGCAAACACTAAGGACAGAGAATGCAGGGAGAGGTGTGAGGGTCTCCAAACAATGGGAGCAATTGCTTAGCCTCGAATAAAACCCAAAGCTTATTAATGGAATCCACACACACAGGACATTTATGGAATGCCGATGAGATATTTCTAATTCAAATTAGCCACTCATATGGTAGGAGGAGAAAATAAAGAATAAGTCAGATATGAAGCTAACCCTTTGAAATGTCATTTTCCAAGAAGAAAGTGCCCTTTTCTCTGTGGGAGGATAGGCACCTAAGTTCCATAAATACAAATTGGGAAACACAGATGGCCCAATCACACTGCTCAACCTTCCCGCCAGCAACCTGTAGTACTTTTCCACCAGCTCACTCTAGGGCTTAAACTCTCCTATGTTTGACCTCAAGAGAGTTGAGTTCAACTGCTCTCCCTATTGCAAAGAGTTAACACCTATTGGGACATTCCTCAATAACCAATTTCTTGGCATTTCAAAAAACTGTCTGGTGCAATTTTTCTTTAAAACAAAGGATATTGACTCTTTGGTGTTGCCGCTGATATTTCGTGCTTGTTTATATGATATTCTGAACTCTGTCTACAACAAAAAAAGATTGTAAGAGATGAGAAAAGTACCGGTTCCCTTTTCTGAACTTTGGCATATTTTTTCTTTTGCTGCTAAAAGTCCCATAACTCACGAAGAAACTTAAGATTATGAGAAGTTATTTTTCACTCTAATATTTCCCAGAAGGTCACTCTCACTACCTCTCAATACTTTGAGATCCTGGATAACAGTGACTCCCCCATTCTTTGCACCAACCCTCTACCCATGGCCACCCAACAGCTCCTGACACCACCTGGAATTCCTCCATTTATGAACATCAACTATGAAACTCCCCATCCCTGACTCACCCACTGTCCTTCCAGCCTCTCATGTAGCTGTCCCTCCTTCCCTGCTGATCAACATCAACAAGGCTCTTCTCCCCTGGGGCTGTGCATGGGAATCACCAGGGAGCCTGATGCCCGAGCTGTCCCCGGTATACCTGTCATCTGCTCTCAAGCTGTCCCTGGGACACTGGTCATCTGCTCTCATCTCCTGTCCTTGTGCACTGCACTATCTTTGCCTCAGGCTCTCTGCATTTGGTATTTTTGATGGTTTTCAGATCTCTTAATGGGGTCTTGAATTCAAATGTCAGAAACCAAAGACAAGCTAACTTAACATTTTGGCTCCTATATCTTGGAATTGAGGAGGAATTTTGGCTTTAGAAATTGCTTGATCCAAGAACTCAAAGCATGAGTTACATTGTTGTTTTTACCTTTTTTCCGCCTTTGTTTCTCTTGATCTTATTTTGGGCTGTCTCCCCAGGTGACAGCCCTGTAAATCATGGACATCTGTCTATGACTTTTGTCACTAATCTCCAGGAGAAAATCCCTACTTCTTTCCCTGTTGTTCCAGCCAACTCCTGAGTCCCATGGCCTCCTCTGAGTCTGTCATTGCCGGGACAGGTTGAGACTCCACATGGAGTCCCGCACCACCTCTGCTCCCAGCAGGAAGAATTTAAACTAAGAATGGGTGAGGGTGTTCTTTGGTCACTCTTAAGACTCCACAGTTCCATGCTGCCATGACGATGGGCTCTTTGTGACACTTTGGGTATAAGGTGAGAGGGTTCTGTCCTACTTCATCAATATTATAAAGAAGCTGAGATTTACACACACACAAAAAGGACACATTCAACTTCTCACCAAGACTGTGTCTTCTGTTCATCTAGGATTGTGTGAAAAGACACCAAAGAAAGTAGTCGATTGAAACAGCATGATCAAGTCTTCACTCACACATTTGCAATTGGGCTTTGGATCCTTCCACAGGCATAAGAGGAGAGGTTCTGCTGGGATCTGAAAATTCCAGGGCCAGGACATTCATGCACAGCTGGCGGGTGCTGCTGGCTCAGCTGGGAACTCTGAGAAAGCTGAAGGATGAGATCCTGTGATGTGCTGGGGCCAGATCAGGACAGCTCATGACAGAGGAGTTTTGTGTGATCATTCTTAAACTGTCCACAGCTGGAAGCATTTTAACCACAGAAATTTACATAAATTTATATTGCAAATCACTGTTTTGTTTTTTCCTAGAAAGCTGTTTGCTCTGGGTTCTCTAGCCCATCCTTGCAGGTGGGCTCAGTTCCTCTCCTTGTGGAATGCTTAGTCTTCCTCCAAGCATGGTATCTGGGCTCCAAAGCCACCAGTCCTCTTAGCACACGTGGACTGCTAAAAGAAATTTAAAATGCCATGAACCAAGTTACTCTAATATTGCCTGGAAGGTCACCCTCACTACCTCTCAGCGCTCTGTCCTGCTGGACAACAGTGACCCTTCATCTTCTTTGTTCCAACCCTCCACACCCTAACTCCTGCCACCACTCGGAACCGCTTGTGGAGGCTGAGAAGTCCAAATCAAGGTGGTATAGAATCAGTGTCTGGTGATGACCAGCTTTTTCGTTCATATACAATATCTTCTCACTGTGTCTTCAACTGGTGGAAGGAATGAAGGAGGTCTCTGGGACCTCTTCTACAGGAGCACTCATTCCATTCATGAGGACCCCACCGTGCTGACCTGCTCACTTCCAAAAAGGCCCCTTCTTTTATTGCTATCATCTTAGGGTCTAAGACTTCAACATATGAATTTCAGAGGAAAAATGTATCAGGCCACAGCACCATCCAACACAGAGAAAGTGAAAGACACCAGTTCACTAGGGCCTAATCCCAGAAAACAGCATGGCATCTAGTTGCATGTAGTCTGTGGTCAAAATGGCACCCGTCCTAGACCCAAAAGGAGAAAACAGAAACCTTCCTTTCTATAAAAAAGAGTACAAGGATTTAGGGGCCATATTTGAAAACAGCTCAAGGAAGCTATTTCCTTATGGTTTATTGTAAAATAAACCTGCTGCAGACGCCAACACCGGACACATAGACAGCTAGTGAGAGGCGGCTGGGAAAGGCAGACAAAAGGCAGAGGACTCGGAGCTCCTGCCTGTCCCAGCTGGATCTGCAGGCACAGAAGTAGCTGTGTGGCACAGGCAGCATCAAGACCCTCCCTGCAGGACGGGGGACAAAGGGCTTAGGGGAGGGAAAGGGCGACTCACTCTGAGGAGCTGGGAGGTGGAGGGTACTCCTCAGAGCTCACCTCCACGCAGCTCTCACCCACGCTAACACACATGCCGCGTTCCATGACTACCCTTTCCTACCAGGTCAAAATCATAACGCCAGCGCCCTGCCCAAGGTCCACACACACTGTGGCTGCTGGGGCCATCAGACACCATAGCGTGTGTGAGAATATGCATGCTGCTCCTGGAAGCCTCTGTCCTCTCACACCTACAGTCCCACCCACAGCTTCTCCAGAATGTTGGCCCCAGCCTGATGATGTCAAGGTTTTTATTGAGTCTAGACTCACTTCAATATTCCCTAAAATTCAAATGCATGTGTCTGAAAAAACAGCTTCAGTTGCGTCTACATATAGTGTGTACAGTATGGACACTGATTGTCTACACAGGCCACAATCATTGGAAAAATCAGGCTGGGGTTGGGGGCTATGGAGCAACATGGAAGTGAAAGTACTGTAAAAAAGTTTTAGACGTAACACCTTTTTTGTTTAAACCACAGAATTCTGCCAAGGTTCTGGTGCAGCCGAAAGAGAAAAGCGAAAAGGACCACAGAGAAGAATCCCTCTGTTCTAACTTGAGTGTTACAGTTTGAGAATCACCTGGGGAAGGATGGAGACAATGCCTGGGTGTGACCTCAGCACAGACTGAGAGCCTACTGGGGCTCTGAGCTACCGAGACCTGACCACAGTCTATGGAAGAGGCAAGGATGGGAGCATGGCCACGAGGCAGACAGAGCAGCGTCCCAGCAAGTGGTTCCAAGTCCTGCAGCCAAGAATGGGAGGGAAGGAGAGCACAAGACTGGGTTGGGGCAGAGAAGGCCACCCCTCCAGCGACAGCAGCCATCAGTGACTCTGAGCCAGCTGGAGGATCTCTGTTCTCCCTGAGCTCCCCAAATCGCTCTGGGTGCTGCATGGAAAGCCACTGCCTGGGCCAGGCCACACATCTGCGATAGGGCTGCTGCACCCGCTCTCCCTCTTCCTGGACAGTGCCCAGGTTTCTGCAGGACACACTCATGGCCCCTCCAGCACTGTTGTAAAGATTCTGGGCATCAATTGGTCCTCAGTGGGCTGACAAAGTCCCTTTGCAGTTAAAAACCAAATCCTCACCACTTGTGTGCCAGCCACTTTGCAGCGCGGTGGCCTCCTAAACTCATGGTTATTAATGTCTCTGGATGTGCTACAGACACCCAAGGCACCAAGGTCCTTCCAAGTGCCATCACTTTTTTAATTCTCAACCTGATGGCCACCATCTCCTCATCACAATTGGGCTAGACCCACTGTGGTGCCCACCTTGGTGATCACAGAAGAGTTAGCTTCTTTTACCCTTAGAGATAACATCCTTTACATGTTCTCCAATAATGAGACCTCCCCACACCATCACAGGACATCCACCATCTCAACATCAAACATTTATTGAACAATGAATTGTGGATGGATAGTAAACTATGATCATCTGAGGACTGACGCCCCAGGCCCACTGGCACCCAGCAGGGCCACGAGGCTTTTGCTAGACCACACCTCTCCATTTGACAGACAACTTCTGGCACAAGCTCTGGCACGTTTTTACTGGTTTTAAAGGTTAGCTAATATTTCCCACTTACTCCTCCTGGCAGGAAGTAGAGATTATTGTTCCAGAATCCACCAAAAGTGCAGCCAGAGGCAGCAAATGAGGAGAAGAAGCCTTCAAACTAGACACAACAACTACATCAGGCAAAGACCATATGGAAGTGCCATCACCAAACGTGGCCATGGGGGAGAAAGGCTCCAAGGAAAAGTGCGTGCTAGCTGACCCATGGAAGCACTGGGAAGAAAGCCCTGAGTGACAAGATGTCAGTGTTCTCCATGATTGGCCTTGCTTGGTATCTCATGTACACATGGCTTGTGGGGTAGCTGTTACACCCAGGCCTTGCAGCCTAGAGAGCTGCTGGGAACAGGATAGCCCTAGTCAGAATTTGTACTCCAGGCTGGAAAACTGGGGAATTCCCTGTAAGTCCTGTTGAGGGGCTGTACCCCAAATACAACCTGACCTGTGTCCAAGGTGGGCAACTCAATTCTTAGATATTGAATGGGTCCCATGGCACCAATGCTTCAACACCAGCAGCCCTCACAACCTCAGATCACCCTGTTTTAAGGATGAAGAGGTGGTTCTCTGGATGCACAAGCTTCAATCCAAATGGGCTAACGACGCCGCAGCACAAACCCAGACTGCAGCCTGAAGGGTTGGAGCCTTGCATTCACAGAAAGCATCCAGACATCATCATGGACTCAGCGATACACCTATGCTCCAATGTATACGAGTTACAGATGGAAACCTCCTATGCCTCCCAGGAAACACTACTCAAGTTTTTGATCAATGCTTCTCTGAAGACCCACAAGGGCTGAGAAGCTGTACAACACCAGCAGTAAAGTGAATGCCCAGACCCCTCTTCCCTTCTTGGGTGGCCATCTGGAAAGGCCACCGCCCCCATGAAGGCTAACACTTCAGACCAGTTCTTGGCCCAGATGATCCTAGATAATTATTTAACCTTGAACTAACTGTTCATTGGCCAAGCAAGGACTGTCCCCTCTGGGGAACCACATGCTGCGTGTACATCCATAACTCAGGAGAACCCACAAAAGTCTGTTCCACATAGCAACAGAAGCCCAGGTGGCACTCAGTCTCACCGGGGTGTTCTCCAACATCCCAGCTCAGCCAAACGGCTTTGATTTGTTTTTATGGTTAGACCCCAGGTCCTCAGGACACTGCTTCAGAAACAGATTCCAAATCCTCTTCTGTGTGTGAGTGGCATTCCTATCCTAGTCTCTTTGCAGGGAGTATACTACGATACGCAACCAGGCTGTCCCAGAGGCTTTAAACACTCCCTTGGTGCAGGCAGTTCACCTCAGCCACAGCCAATGCAGCATAGGGTCAATTGTGTTAGGAGCCATGGAGAATCCAGAGTTGGTTGCTGCCCAGGCCTGGTCACGGCTGGCCAAGGTAGACAAGGGGTTCCTCTGTGGAGTTCTACTTTAAGCTCACCTTCCCACCAAATTTCTCAACCGTCCTTGACAACACAATTGTTGAATGAACCCAACAGAATGTTACCCTAGAAATCAGGACACCTCATCCCAAAGGACCTTTAAATAGGGGAAGTTCACTTGTGCACGGCTGCTCCTTCCTACAGAAGACCTGGGACAGAGGACTGCTGTCTGCCCTCTCTGGTCGCCCTGCCTAGCTAGAAGAGCTGTAAGTAACACAAAACTTAAACTTTTACACTGAGTTTTCATCATTGAAGCTATGCCTCCAATCTGACCTCTGACTGGGGGGCCACCCCAGAGGGACCCAGCGGGTAAATCCCTGCTGGGAACGTCTGTCTGGATCTCTGGTGGCTCCTGGGGACAATGGCTTTCAGCTAAGTTAATAGAGAAACTCAAGCAGTTTCCTTCTAAACACAAGTGTCCTAGTTGACATGTCCAGTAGAGATGATCGCAGGTCTTTGGAACATTGTTTTGAGAAAAGCCTATTCAGGTCCTTCGTCTGTTTTTCAATCAGGTTGTTTGATTTATGCTATTGAGTTGTTTGACTTCCTTATGTATTCGGATATTTGTCCCTTCTACCATGTAGGTTTTGCTAATATTTGCTCTCATTTTCTGGATTATCTTTTCATGCAGTTGATTGCTTTCTTTGCTGTGCAGATGCTTTAGCGTTCAATACAGCCACACTTGTCTATTTTCCCTTTTATTGCCTGTGCCTTTAGTGCCATAGCCAAGAAATCATTACCTACATCAATGTCAAAAGCTTTATCCTTATATGCACTTCTAGTAGTTTATGGTTTTGGATGTTGCATTTAGGTCTTTTTAATTCTAGGAATTAGAGTCCTGCCATTGGCTTCCCAAGGAGAGACTTTGCTAGGGACTGTGCAGAGCAGTGCAGCAATGAAAGCCTTGAAAGATTAGTTAATGTACACAGTTCATCCCACAGGCACGAGCAGACAACTAGAAAAAAAATAACAGCCACTTACAGCTCTCTTAGCCTAAGCTGCTTTCAGAAACAGCTTGTCAAAATTTCTCCAGACTCTACAATAATGTTGAATATCACACTTTTAAACCCAAAGTCCATGTAATTCATTCAGGCAATCACTCAATATTATTCAATTTTCATGTAATTCACTAAGGCAATCACCCAATATTACCGAAATTTTAATCTTCTCTTTAATTCATTCTCCATGTAATCTTTTCCAAATCTATAGTGCTAAATGCTGTCTCAATTTCGGAATGTTTCCTCCATTTATATCTTCAGTTCCAACCACCCAGCTGAACTCCAGACTCCAGATCTCATGTCCCGACATATCCACTAGAATCTCCCAGAGGCATCTCATCCCTAGTGTCCAAAACCAAACTCTTCATTGTACATCTCCCCAGCTTGCAGGCACCACGTGCACATACAGGTGTTGTCATTTCAGAAAATGGCACTAGTGTCTCTCTGAAATTCTTCAGGGCAAAAAATGAAAATATTCTTCACATAGCCTCATATTCCATGTTCTTACATCAGCAATTGCTGTTGCCGCTGTACCTTCAACATAAATTTTGAATGACGCCACTTCTTATCCCCTGCACTGCTGGCACCCTGGTGCAATATACGCTGACTTCTAGCCCAGGCTTCCACAACCCCCTTGTAACGGGGCTCCTGCTGACACTTTGGTCCACTGTAGTCTATTTTCCACTGAAACTATCAAGGTCTTATCATGGTTTGCAGGTATGAGCCCTGGCTCTTGACCACCTCTGTCCTCAACTTCCCCCACTGTCCACACCAGCCACCAGGCTTTTTTCAGAGGAGGTTGTTAGGGGTTGAATTGTGTTACCCCAAAGTTCATGTGTTGAAGACTTAACCCCTAGTGTCTCAGAATGTGGCACTGTATCTGGAGAGTCTCTGAAGAAGTCATTAAGTTAAAATGAGGTAATGAGAGTGGGCATTAAACCCAATACGACTGGAATTCTTACAAGAAGAGGTTAGGACACAGTCACACACGGAGGACAGATAACGTGAGGACACAGGGAGAAGACAGCTGTCTACGAGCTAAGGAGAGAGGCTGCAGAGAACATCAGCATGCTAACACCTTCAGAGTTCCAGTCTACGGCACTGTGAGAACACCAGTTCCTGTTGTTTTAGCCACCCGGTCTGTGGAAATTTGTTCTGGAATCCTGAGATGACTAATCCAGATGCCAACATACAGGGTTTCCACAGCTCATCAGCTCAGAGCACTGGCAGAGTCTTGGACAAGAGAAAATTCTTTGGCCACGATTGCAAAGTCTCAAATGAGACAGTAAGAGTGAATAGTGAGAGATGAACATCATTCAAGTCTGTCCTCCAGATACAGCTCAGAGCTAGTGCACAAAGCACAATGGTTGCCACAAGACAAACTCTTCCAAATTGTGTCAGTGTCTGGAGCCCCAGAGGGCAGTGAAAGTTTACCAAAGTGGTAAATTTCTCTTCTGCAAAAACTCTGGCTTCCTCAGCCTGACACACTCTCTGAGAAAGTGGGCACCCACCTTCTCCCCCGCCGCATCCAGGGCCCCTGCCTCCCAGGAAGGAGAGTAGCCTGCTGATGCATGGTCCAGATGGTGCGCTTCTCCTGCATCTTTACCTAAAACGTCAGAGGCCGGCTTTCATTTTCACATCTGCATTGATAGACCCTCCCATAGGAGCAGATTCCCCAAGAATGTCCACTTTCCTCACAGCCAGAGCAGGATGGCAGCTCTGCTTTACAGAGTTCATCAGCGCTGCCCCTGAGCACCCCTTTTCGAGAGCTGGCCAATACCCCTTTCTAGCGAGGCTCTTTCTCAGCCATTTCAAGATGCAACAACCGAGTACTAAGTCCTGACAGGCACTAATCTCCATGGTTCTCCAGGAATGAACAAATAAGGGAATAACCACACGTATCCCATGTATCCACAGAAGTAGTGCCTCTTTCTTAAAGAGGATGGGGAGCTCATTGCCCTTTCTTAAAGAAGCACTAATTTTGGGGATACATGTGGATACACAGGATGCCCCCACAGCTGTACTCTTGTAATTGGTGTCCAGCAGCCTCTGAACAAGTGAGGAAGGTTCATCCAATAGTGCAAAACTGGGCTGTAGGTGCCCACAAGGAGGAGCCACAGGTCCTCATGTTCACGAAGGCCCTATCTCTCTCGTCTCCCATCTGCTTGCCTGTTACCAGCAATAAATATGGTCATGTCTGAGCATCATTTGTCCCCTGGAATATCCTGGAATACAAAACCTCTAGTATACAACCAGATTCTGTTGCTATCTTATTTTCTTCCAGGCCAATTCCCTTGCACCCTACTTTCTTAACACAGTTAATTCCTATGTTAAATAATTAACTCATCCATCAGGGGAGTACATGCCTTCTAAGAGTGAATGTCCATATTATGGGTGGAAATCCTGTTTTTGGCCTGGCCCTGAGTGACCGGGACAAGTAGACCTTTCTACCTGAGGTCCAGCTCCTCAGGGTAGAAAGTGTAGCATCGACATCTCTATGAAAATGACCAGGACAATAGAAACAAAAGGTAAGAAAAAAAGTAAAGAAAAAAATAAGAGAAAGAAAAGGGGAGACTACATGGCCCAAATACATTGAGTTTACTGTGAAAACACATTTTTGGAGATAGAGAGAAGATAAAGCACAAGGTAAAGAGACTAAATTGTTCGTTTCCAGGTTTTCAAGTGGAATCTTGCCCTGATCTGGGTCTCAATTAACAAAGCACAAGGACACCTGAGCCTGTAGCAGGTGTCGCTGAGGATATAGGTCCCAGAGTGATGCCCAGTGGCAACATGTGGGTCTGCAACTGCAGGTGCCCCTCACCTGGTGACCTTGAGGAAGAGGGAGCAGCATATTGGGCACAGTGCTGGGTTTCAGGGTACAGGAAATCACATCAGAGCAGCCCAGAGGAGGACTGTGTCTGCACACGGAAAACATACCTCGCAGACTCTATTGGAGCAGAATAAAGAGATCATAACTGGCCACCTGTCGACCATTTAAGATCTCGTTCTTCCTTTCATGTTTTCTGTCATTTCTATCACACAGTACCCTCTTCCTGCACACAGGCACTCAGACTCAGAGACATGCACGTGCACACGTACAACACATACATCCCCAGTTTCCACCTCCCAACACACTCCCCTCGCCACACATGCACACATACATAAAAAATTACAAGCATATGCACAGGTGCACACACACCCTGAAGTGCAGACTCCAAACTCTAATAGATCTGGATTAGTCTCTGAGGCCAAAGCTGCTCAGACTGACATGCACAGGCCATAAAACCAAATTTTTACACCCAAGACCCCTTGGAGAGAGTCTATGGCCCCCAATTCAGAGTCGAAAGACAGAGGCCATGATAGGTGAAGTCATTCACTAATGATCCCACAGTTAGTTGACGACACCACTGAGACCACAGCTCCCAACAGACAGCACATTGGCCTGCTGTCTTACCCGAGGCCCATAATGCAGTATTCATTCCTGCAAAGGGGACACCTACATCTGGGTCCTCTGTCTCAGGTAGCTCCAAGGCTAGGACCTGGTGCACTTTCTCCAAGAGGCTCCAGAGAAGGACAAGGGTCCTCAGGGCTGTGAGCCTCCTATACATGAATGTCTCTCAAGCGACCGAAGGATTTTGAGGACCAAGGGGAGTGAAAAGACCCCAGCTCTGTGCTAATTGGAGGAAGCAGCATCCCAACGCAATGAGCTACCCCAAACCCGTGTGGCTGTGGGATAGCGGCATCCTTTGGGTTGATAGTTCAGACCTTTGACAGTTCTACAATCCAGCGGCTGCACTGAAACACCTGCTCTTCATGTTCATGAAGGCCCCTATCACTCTTCCTGTCTCCCATCTGCTTGACTGTTACCAGTAATAAACACACTTCTAAGTATTATTTGTTCCCTAGAATATCCTGGAATACAAAACCCTATTATAAAACCAGACTCTGTTGTTATCTGAAGTATTTTCTTTCAGGCCAATTTCTTTGCCCTCTACTTTTTAGCACAGTTAAATTAATTTTTATGTTAAATAATTAAATCATCGATCAGGGAGTACATGCCTTCTAAGAGTGAATGTCCATATTATGGATGGAAATCCTGTTTTTGTCCCAGCCCTGAGTATAGGAGAGGCAAGATTCGACCCAGAATAAAGGACAAGAAAAACAGTATTTAAAAAAATACTAAAATTGGTATGAAATCAGAAATGACACCGAATAGCCAAAGCAATCTTGAGCAAAAATAACAAAGATAGAGGTATCATGCTCTCTGATTTTAAAATGTATCATAAAGTTATTGTAAGCAAAACAGCATGGTCTGGCATAAAAGCAGACACAATAACCAAAGGAAAGGAGGAGAAAGTCCAAAACTAAACCCAAGTATTTATGATTATTTGATCTTCAACAAAGATGCCAACAACACACCATGGGGCAAGGAGAGTCTCTTCAATAAAAAGTATAAGGAAAACTAGACATCCACAAGCAGAAGAATGAAATTGGACACTTATTCCATACTATATCCAAAAATCAACTCAAAATGGATTAAAGACTTGCATAAAAGACCCGAAATTGTAAATCTACTAGAAGAAAACATGGGGGGAAATCTTATGACATTTCTCTGGGCAATTATTTCTACAACAGGACTCCAAAAGCAAAGACAACAAAGGCAAAAATAGACAAAGGAGGTTACATCAACTAAAAAACTTCTGCACAGAAAGGAAACAAAGGGAAGAGATGACCCATGGACTAGGAGAAAGTATCAGTAAACCATACATCTGATGAGGGGTTAATATCCCAAATATATAAGGAAGTCAAATTACTCAAAAAGAAGAAGACAAACATCTCAATTTAAAAATGGGCAATAAACCTGGCCCACAGATATGTGGAAAACATACTCAACAACACTATCAGGAAAACGCAAATTAAAATCACAAAGAGGTAATCATCTGTTAGAATGGCTTTTAACAAATAGACAAATAATATGTGTTGGTGAGGATACAAAAAAAAGGGGACCCTTGTACACCATTGGTGGAAATATAAATTAGTACAGCCATTTTGGAAAACAGTATGGAGGTCCCTCAAAGTACTAAACATAGAATTACCATATGACCCAGCAATCCCACTTCTGGGTATATCTCCAAAAAATTGAAATCACTATATCAGCCGGGCTCGGTGTTTCATGCCTGTAATCCCGGCACTTTGGGAGGCCAAGGCAGGTGGATCACAAGGTCAGGAGATCAGACCAAGTACATACTCAAGCATATGGGAAACAGAACAGGATAGTAGTGTCCTTATCAACAGTTTAGATCAAGAAGAGGCATTAAGCATACAGACTCACTCTGTGATGAAAGGCGGGAGAAAGAGGAGCATCAAAGGGATCTTGAGGATGAAGGCAGCCCGTCCCCTCCCAATAACATGCCCACCTCCTCTCACTGCAGCTTCCGTCTCAGGCCTTCTCCCAGCAGAGCTATAAATCCAGGCTCACTCCTCACTCTCCACACATCCACACCTGCTCTTCCTCCTCCAGGTGACCCCAGCCATGAGGACCCTCACCATCCTTGCTGCCATTCTCCTGTTCGCCCTGCTGGCTCAGGCTAAGTCACTCCAGGAAACAGCTGATGACGCTGCAACCCAGGAGCAGCCTGGGGAAGACGACCAGGACCTTGCTGTCTCCTTTGAAGAAAATGGACTCTCTACTCTTAGACCCTCAGGTAAGAGACATCAATCTTGCAGATCTGCAAAATCTAGAACAAAAGGATTGGAAACAAGCTCTGGTATCAAGTGTGGAAAAGTCTACTTCACTTGAGTGACTTTACTTAATCTTCCTGGACCTTGATTTTCTCATCTCTAAATTACTCAGTGAGAACGGAACACATCTAAAAGATTTTCTTTCTTCTAAGACTTTTAGTTTCAAGATATTTCTGTGAAATTTGCTACTGTTAAGATAGAAAGAGCTACACTGACTTGTCATTTGTAGGTCTAAATGGGTAGACTTAGTTATAGAGAGAATATTTTACTTTGTCCATTGGTAAACCTTTTAGAACCTACGGAGGAACCTATGGATGTGTTTCGATGTAGGCTAATAGGCTTAATTAAATCTTTCTACAATACATACTTAGATCCAAACATCATATTGTGTCTCATACATATACACAATTATTATTTGTCAATTAAAATAAGTACATAAGTAAAATGTTAAAAAAAAAAAGAGAGAGAGAGAGAGAGAGAATGAAGAATTTGAATTTGGAAGGTCTTCAAAGACTTCTTGAGCACCAAAGTAATTTGAGTCCATGACATGAGCATGCACAATGCAGCATCTCAGAAATGGATGCAGGTGCATTAGGGAGCCTTGTTAGGACATGTGGATCATACATGGAGGTCAAGATTAGGGTATGGATTAAGCAGAATGAAGAGTAGGTAACCCCAGGGTTGAGAGGTATATTGTTTTACCAGGGAGCAGGTAATAAACATGTCCTGAATAGACTCAGATGGGGAAAGAGTATGATCTTGCATGACTAACACATAGCTAGTATAATTTCTTGTCATTTACGACAAAGACATGAATTTTCTCCAACCTAACATGGCTGATACAGTGTCTCTTGTTTAGACTATCTCAGTTAGTCTGGCTCTGCCTGTCCTTTTCCCCAACTCCCTCGCTGTGCCTGATTCTCTCTTCTTTCCACAGGTTCTCAGGCGAGAACCAAATGCCATTGCCGAATCCGCCGTTGCAACTGGTACGAGTCGAACTTCGGGCCATGCATTATAATGGGCCAACGCGGCAGATTCTGCTGTCGCTGAGCTTCCTAGATAGAAACCAAAACAGTGCAAGATTCAATCCAAGGTCCTGAAAAAGAAAAAACACTTCACTCTGTGTACCTTGTGTCTTTCTAAATTTTTCTCTCCAAAATAAAGTTCAAGCATTCAACTTAGTGTGTTTGACTTTTTAAATTTTCTTTTCTTTTTCCTTTTTTTCCCTTTTGCTTTTTTATATGGTGGATTGTACGGTTCCTTTGTATACAGAATTCTGATCCACATTAAGTTAACTGATCTTTGCATTCCAATAACGCACTATTCAAGCATCATAGAGCAATAACGAAATAGCAAAAATGAATATAATTGGGTTTGTTGCTGTTGTTGTTGTTTGAGACAGTGTCTCACTTAGCCACCCGAGCTGGAATACAATGGTGCAATCTCTGCTCACTGCAGCCTTAACCTCCTGTGCTCGAATGATCCTCCCACCTCAGCCTCTTGAGTAGCTGGGACTACAGGCATGTGCCACCACACCCTGCTAATGTTTTGTACTTTTTGGAGAGACAGGGTTTCACCAGGTTGCCCACATTGGTCTTGAACTCCTGAGCTTAAGTGATCTGCCCTCCTCAGCCTCCCATAGTGCTAGGATTTCATGCTTGAGCCACCATGCCTGACAGGATATAAGTGTTAATTGGAATAGTTTGAAACTTAAAAGTTCAGTGCATTCCTAATGATACTGAAACAATAGAAGTTTACAATGAGAGGCAAAAAGTGGTTGTTGGCTCAAAGGAAAGATAGATCTGATGGGCTATGTTCACGTGTCCTTTAATTTTAAAAAGTGGGAAAGCATTGCTATACATAATTTTTGAAATTTTAAGCAGATGTGTTAAATACATATGCTATACATTAAGCTTTATTTCACTCTATTTTGGTAAGTGATATATAACTGTATCAACAAGATAGAATAAAATAAAGTTTAACAAGGAAAAAGTTAAAACTGTGCCCAAAACAGGAAAGACTGACGAGCATCAGTGATTCAATTAATTACCAGATAGAAGAAGAGTTCAGAAGCTGGTGATCATAGAGGATGAGGCCCAATAACCAATGAGACAAATGGTCCGTTACTGGTCCCCAAGAGCTTAATTAGACCAATGTTTAATGAAGGAGTTGGTCTCAATTCTCCATCCCTTCAAGCATATGAATTCTACTCATTATAATACAGCTATACTCATTTTAATAAAATGCTAGTGAGAAAATATATGTTAATATGTTTTTAATGATGCCAATGAACCAATTCAATAATCATAATGATAAGACAATTGGCCATACACTTACGGCTGTGCAAAAACTTAAGAACATCATATTTGTGAGAAAGGCACGTTTCTAGAATTAAAATTTATATAAAAGACAGGGACTGAACAGTGCCATGATATGACAAAACAAAACACAAACAAACAGTTTTATTACAACAACAACAAAAAGTCTCAACCTGATAATAAACAACAAGTAGCCTGACTTTGATTCATCTTAGACACATACAAAGCACTGTTTCCTGATCAAGGATCAGCTGTTTGACCCTAGACTTGCAACCTCATTTAGTAATCTGGGGTCTCAGAAGATCACGAAAATCATAGGAAGGAATAATATCAAAACAAATAAGAAAAGATATCAAATCCATGATATGGGCCCTTCTATATCACCTTTGGTATAATGAATGAATAAGCTTGGGATCATCATTCAGGAATATGTTTATCTATTCTTGAAGGTGTTAGATGTGTCTAAAAACAACCAGGCATACTAAATGTATGACATCAATGTAGATGAAGGGAATTGAAATAATCACCTTTGTATCAGTATTTAATACTCAAGACCTGGTTTAAATTTAGGGTAAATAGTGATGAGATTTTCCTCTGTGCACAAAAGCCCTTTCATTATTAAAGAACCTAGCAAGCTAGTGCAGGCTGGTGCTGCCCTTCCTCATCTGATGGTCCTTAGTGAGAGCTCTCCACTTTACTGGGAGATAGGTGGTCGGGGCTGGTTCTCTGCCTCAGCAACCCTTCTCAGCAGGACTCTCTTCCACTCTTGCTGTCACACCTGGTCCTGGAACTGGAGGACCAGCAGGAGAACAAGATAGAGGAGGGCGAGCCTTCTCATGCACCACCCGAAAGGCGAGGCTTTCTGGAAGCAGGAATCAGAACGGGTAGTGGAGAGACCTCAGATGCTGAATATAAGTACATCTTTTGGGATGATAAAGTCACTCTACAAAGTCTGTGAACTTAGGTCAGGTTGGCGTGTAGGTGAAAGGGAAGGATTTTCCAGGTCTCACCTGGTTGCCTAAAAGTCACCGTGATGCTCCTCTATTTAACTGCTTTACTCACAACCAAAACTGACTGGTTGTTTGGTCTCTGCCCTTTCTTTTTGATGTGTTCTGCTTTTTGTTTTTTGGGTGTTTTGTTTTGTTTTGTTTTGTTTGAGATAGAGTCTTCCTCTGTCGCCCAGGCTGGAGTGTAGTGGCACGATTATGGCTCACCGCAACCTCCACTTCCCAGGTTCAAGTGATTCTTCTGCCTCACCCTCCCAAGTAGCTAGGATTACAGGCAAATGCCAATGCGCCCAGCTCATTTTCGTGTTTTTATTAGAGATGGGGTTTCATCATATTGGCCAGGCTGGTGTCGAACTCCTAACCTTGAATGATGTCCCCACTTCGGCCTCCTAAAGTGCTGGGATTACAGGCATGAGCCACTGTGCTGGGTCAAGGGGTTCTGTTTTTATAAGAATCTTGAACAGTATCTCCTGTTCCTCATCAGCCTTTAAGTAAATATCAGCTACAAAGTAGGGGGTTTGGTAGAGGCTCCACTGCTACATTCAGAACAGCTACAGTATAAACAACTCTAGGTTTTCCAGGCAGATCTCTTCAATGTCCCATTTTCCCTTGAAGCTAAGACTCTTGTCTTATGTTAGCATAGTGATCAGGGGATATGAATAACTTCCAAGGAGTAGGACTCCAAGGTCATGGGGAAGAATACCCTACTCTCTGCTATGAGTAAAACTTACAGTAAGAAACAAAATAAATGTTTCCTCAGGCCCAAAGATATTACATTGAGCATCAAGTCTCTGGTCAGGAGGAGAGCAGGTTATGCAAAAACTAAGATAAACAGAAGATGTTCTTCACCCCTCCTTCAGGCAATGGGAGGCTTTTTCTAACTGTTAATGGAAATTCTTGGCTCAGCATGGACCTAAACAAAAAGGCCTGATACAAGGCACTTCACTCTCATTGCAACTGTGTCCTGCATATATCTCCTCATGTTTTCATCCCACACATCCTCATTCTCATGTCCCAACCCCAGTCAGTCTAACAACAGATCTTCCTGTTCCCTGCTGCAGAAAATTCAGGTGACCACACAAATCAAGCATCTACCTAAACCGTGTGTCTTGGTCAGGGATCTCCAGAGAAACAGAACCAAAATAATGTGTATGTATAGAGAGATTGTTTTCAAGGAAATGCCTCATGTGACTAAGGAGTTAGCAAATCAAAAATCTCCAGGATGGGCCATCATACTGGAGGCCCAGGGAAGAGTCAAACTTGCAGTTCAAGTCTGGAGCCTGTCTGCTGGCAGAATTCTGTCTTGCCCAGGGAAGGTCAACCTTTTCCCTTTTCAAGCCTTCAGCGGATTGGATGAGGACCACTGATATTAAACAAGACAATCTACTTCACGGAAAGTTCACCAACTTAAATCTTAATCACATCCAATAAGATACCCTTACATAAATACCCAGAATCATGTATGACCAAATATCTGGTCCATTGCAAACCAACCAATTTGACACATAAAATTAACCATCACACTGGACCTTCAGTTTTACTGAGCAATCTTCTAAGTCTCTGTATTTCACTCTCATTCCAGTTCTTTAGAAGGACTTCAACAATATCCTAGTTCTATCATATTCTATATCATGTTTTTCATAGATTAAATGCTTGAAACTGTCCTTTGTTTTTTTGTTTTTTTTTTTACAAGACAGACTCTCACTCTGTTACCCAGGCTGGAGTACAGTGGTGTGATCTCAGCCAACTCCAACCTCTGCCTCTCAGGTTTAAGTGATTCTCATGCCTTGGCCTCCCAGGTAGCTGGTACTACAGGCATATGAAACCACGCCCAGCTAATTTTTTATACTTGTAGCAGTAACAGGGTTTCACCATGTTGTCCAGGCTGGTAGCAAACTCCCAATCTCAGGTGATGCACTCACCTTGGCCTCCCAAACTGCTGGGATTACACGTTTGAGCCCCCACACCCAGCCTTGCTTCTAAAGCTTTTGATCCATCTTACATCTATGTGTAAAAGTAATCTGATAGTGGTTTTGCTTATATTTATTTTGATAAACTTCTATAATTATGTAATTGGTATTACTATAATTTGAGTATGTCCTCCAAAAGTTCATATTGAAACTGAATCCTCAATATAACACTATTAAAACTTAGGGTCTTTAAGAGCTGATGGGGTTTGAGGACTCTATGCCCCCGAATGGATTAACCCATTGATGAACTAACATGTTAGTAGATTGTCACAAGAGTGAGTCTGCTGTGAGTCTGTTGTAAAAGCCAGTTCCTCTCAGTGTGTCCAGACTCACCATGTGATGCACTGTACCACTAGGACAGCAGAGACTCCTTATCAGCAAGAAGACCCTCACCAGATGCAGCCTCTAAACCTCAGACTTACCAGCCTTCAGAGTTGTAAGAAAAAAGTGTACTTTCTTTATAAGTTACCCAGTCTTAGGCATTCAGTGATGGAAACTATATACATACATATATATATATGACATACATATATATATATGACAGCTACCATCTTAGGATCAAGGAAATATGGCAATATTGGTTAATATCCATTCATTGTCACCATTGTATTAGGCATCACACCAATTCCTTTCCCTACTACACATGAGGTAGGAAAGAGACAATTATCTAGATTTGAGAGGTGAAGAAATGGAGGCCTGGTACATGGAAACTCATCCTTCCATCTTCGGTACACCTGATGTTGCATAAGAAACAATAGTAAACAGAAAATGAAGACCTCTCCCAGTGGACAAAGGAGCCAGTGACCAACCCTAAGAACATGGCAATGTTCAATAATTCAAAACAGCAGTTTTTAGGAAACTCAGCAAACTTTGTGATGACACAGAAAAGTAATTCAGAAACGTATCAGAAAAATTTAGCAAGGAGATCAATATAGTTGTCTAAAAATCAAACAGAAATCCTGGAACTGAGAAATAAACTCCCTGGCAGAAAACTATCAGACTCTCAATAACAGAATTGATCAAGTAAAAAAAATTCAGTAAGCTCAATGCAGATTATTTGAAATACAAAGTA